ATAAAATCCACATTGTAAGATTTTTATAGTCGTCTTTTTTATGAGAAATGATCCTCATATGCCTTAAAGTGATAAAATTTAATGACACTACTTACCTCATTGTCGAGGACGCATCTTTGAAATATTTGATCAGGACTAGATTTGAATAAGTAAGGGTTATCCCAATAAATGTTTTGCATGTCACTCAGAAACTTTCTTTTTTCTTAGTTATCCAAATGAGCTGGCAAAAATCCTAAAGTAAAAAAATTGATATTTTTAGCAAACTAAGGCATTGAACTAAGAGAAAGTAAAGATTCATCAGGAAAGTAATTATCAATTGGTGTGATGTCAGGTGTCGAATCTGTTGTCACTTTTGATAAAAGATCTGCATCAATATTTTTGGTGCCTTTTTCATCCTTAATTTCTTTCTGTTTGGTCATGGCATGAGGAAATAGAAGCGCTAGTGAGGCATCAGTCTTTTCTTTGCAATGCTCAGATTCAACCGCTTCCATACCCTCAGAGATTTACTCATCATCTTTCTCACAAGGTTCAAGGATTCGTTTTTGAATAATCTTACCACTACGAAGAGTAATGACTGATTTGATTGACTTCCAAAACTATTTGTATTTGCATTGTATTGCCCCTTTTATTTGCATTTGGACTTCTAGAATTCCAGATATGAGCCAAACACTAAATAGTATTCGGGCTGTAAGACAGATTCAAACTTCTTCATTGTTGTAATTTGGGTTTAAAAATGGCATTTTAAAATCTTGAGCTCCAATGAAAGTTACAGCTCCAGATATGATCTAATTACCGAATAGTGTTTCGGTTTGGACTGTACCAGCATCTCTTTGTCCTTTCAATTTTATTTCTTAAAATCATCAATCAATCCTTTCATTATTATTTATAATCTATACAATTAACCTCCTTGTGATTCGACCTCGGTCTTGCTGGGTTATTTATTACTTCGACCCTCTAGCACTTGTAAGAAAACATCAATCTTTTGGTCGTATCAGTTAGATCATAAGATTTATTCTATAGGTTTCGAAGTCTTAATTTTAAAAAGAATAGCTAAGGTCTAGAAGGCCTGCAAATTATTCCAAGAAGGTGTTGTTCGACCTACTTTTGTTATTTTTCCTTGTCAAAAGGTTCCAAAGATTGAGTTTAAGAAAGAAATCGAGGTCTGGAAGGCTTCCAATTATTATTAAAAGGTTCTATTCAAGCTACTTTTGTTATTTCACAACTAAATAGTAAAATACTAATGAAATATTTCATTGGTGTTAAAGCCTAATTTCATTGGATGTATAATTATTGATAGATTTATAGATGAAGAAATATCATTGAAAAACATATTATTGATGATTTTTATTCTATTGGTAATATAATCACCTATGGATTTATAGTGACAAACAAAAACAGTTATTGATAATAATTCTATTAGTAAATCCATGGGTAATTATATAAAGTTACATATGGATTTGATTTGTCATAGAATTACAATTATATGTATGTTACCAATGCTAAGAGAGGCAATTTTTCTAATTTTTTTCATCTATTTAGAACTCTCTAAGGGACTTAGTTCGTCGATAATTTCATTGATATTTCACATTTTGTCAATAATTCTATTGGTATTATATGTAATATTTTTTTTAAATAAAATAAACAATATAATTAAAAAAATATAACAATTTAAAAAAAATTTAAATTATTAATTTAAAAAACATTATTAAATACAATTTATTTATTTAGAGGATAAAAGCAAGAGAAATAGGCGAAGGTACATCTTTACTGGAACTAGGAGGGTAAGGAGGTGGAGCACATGTATTAGTGAGGGTTATCAACAATTGTTTGAAAACATTCACTTTATTCGTCAGTTTAGTCATCTCAATCTTAAGATCAGTTGGTTAGCTTTAACTTGTTTTTTTATAATTGTACGGACAACCAGTGATTACTAGCTCAATTCAAATTTTATGGTTCTAACAATCAAGACACTATGGCCTGATTGTATATCCTTGACTATAATATTGGAGATACAATAAATTTAATTTTTATTGGATCCACTAGTAGATCTAGTGTCCAAACATAAATTAAAATTGAGTTCCAGATTAATCAAAAAGATCATTCTTGTATTTCTAAAGCAATTGAGTGTTATATGTTTAGGTTGGTAATGGAAAAAGTAGCTATTTTTTGTTGGTAAATGTCACCCTAATATACCAGCATAATTTTTTATTGGTATTTTTGTTTGTATTTTATAGTTTTCCAGGAGTGCTTTTACTTATTTTCAGATTTCCTAATGTTTTTAGGATTTTTATTTCTTTTTCATTATCTTTTAAATTTATTAATTTCTTTAGTTTGGTTTTGGAGTTTAGTTAAGGAGTTGTAAACCTATGAAAAAGAAAAATTACTTGAAAAGAAAATATTAATGATAAAATTTTAAATTAAAATTTATATATGATGACCATGTTTAACATGATTTTATGTATTTTTTTTTCTTGTATTGTTTTCATCGATGTTATAAACTTATGTTTGGATTTGTAGTTCATCACAACTAATTAACACTATATTTATTTATTGAGTGAATTTTTCTAGATTAACACGCCAATGACAACAATGATGTGTTTTCAATATTATGCAAAATGCATGGATTTTGATTTCCGAAGTCAAACTTCTTTTAAAAAAATATTACATGAGGAAAATTAATTTTCTAAACCCAAAAAAATTAATTTTCCTGTTTATTTGTGCCCGAAATTGGTGGCAGGAATTGGATTTAACAAAATATAAACAGGGGCTTGATGCTAAAATGGTGGTAGGAAACACAAAAAATCATGAAATTAACATAACAGAAAAATCCTACTTGAATCTTTCCTGATCCTGCCAGGTGAGGAAAATCTAACCTGAAGAGAACAGTGCTGACAGGGCCCCATTTTCTTGCTCCTAAACCCTAGCATTCCACCAAACACAATGTATTAACTTGCCACGTCAGGCTACCATCCTGTCCACTAGCCAATGAGACAGTAAACATTTACCTGGCAGTATAGTCTTTCTACGTGCCCATCAAATGCCATAGATTCAGTGTGCCAAACGAAACCCCTATGTCATACTTGTATAGATTCAGGGATCTGCTCTTCTGATCATAATCTATCATCTATTTCGTTATATATCAGTGTAGATTTGATATATAACATCCAATTGTGGGTTCTCTTTATTTATTTATATATATTTTTTAAAATTTTAGTTTGTATGCGTTAGGAACAAATTCAAATGGTTTTTTTCACCAAAAAAAAAAGAAAATTGAGCTTAAATATATTTTGATTGGCGTCGATTATCCGGATAATGATGATCGTAGTTTCATTTCTAGTTTTTTTTTTAGCTTCGTTTTTTATACAATTTGAAGATTGTTAAGGTAGAAGACTTTTGAAAACTAATTAATATAGAGAGATATGTTTGTACCAAAAATTTAACCTATTCAAACTAATATCAAAATGAATATTTTCCAGATGGACATGTCCGAGTCGGAGGAGATCAGTCAAGATCAGGAGATAAGCAGTGATGAAGAAATGATGCGTCCTGATATCACTGATGCGAGCTCAGTCAATGGTGATGGTTATAGTACTGATAGTGATTATAGTGAAATTGATGATAATGAAAATACGGAGAGGTGAGGTGTTAATGGAGATGTTGCTACCTGCGATTTGATCATTTTATTTTGATGGTAAAGAGTTTTTTTTCTTCTTCTTTTTGATCAGTTCGGTTGAAGGGTTAGAGGAGATGAAGAGTACTACTGACGAGGAATTAGGGTTTGATCATGAAATAAATCCACAGGTAACTAGTCTTGCAAGATATGTATGTGATTAATAACCTATCTGGAGATATTCATCATGACTAATTAAGATTTGCATGACATTTTCAAAGTAACAGAAGAAAGGGTATGGCATTTTTAATGAAAAGCCCTAAAAATCAAGCAAGTCCAATACCATTCTAAGACGAAAAACATATATATAAAGGCACTTTTTTCTGGCACTGTCATTGATTTTTCTTGTGGGGATTAATTTCTATAACATTCTATGATAGAAAATCTTGATCTCTAGCATATTTTGATGTTCCCGGCCTTTCCTTTAAGCCCTTTCTTGGGTTGGTAGAGTTCATCAAAAGAAATGTTTGTAAGATTTCTTTAGGGTTTATATATGATGTGAAAGCTTAATTTTGTACTTCATTGATGATTTTTTTGGAGATTGATTTTAGCTTTGACTTACAGGATGATAGCATGATCCAAAATAATGGATATGTTCCATTCAATTCAGATAATTATCAGTCCCCTCAGCTTTCTCCTCGAAGTGAGGTTGAGTCCGTGTCATCCACAAACATGCCTTTGGAAATAAATGATCGAGCTAGTGACCTTTTAATGGCAGTCTCAGTTGGTTCTGATGCAAACAAGAAAAAAATCAATGCGATGGCTGTTTCAGCCATGGACGAGCTAGTAAGGAAGTGCCTTGCAGGAGAACCTCTATGGCAGCACCGACAAGATTGTGACCTTGAGATTCTAAATGAAGGAGAATATATAAGAGAATTCCGTCCATTTGATGCAAGTCTAGGAGAGCTAATGAGAATAATTGAGATGGAAGATTCTCAAAATCTTGCAAAGTTATATGAGAGCAATGCAAGCACTAATGGAACTCAACACAAACCCATGTTTCAGCAAGATGCTGAAAAAAATTTCCTTCAAACTGAAGCTTCAAGACATATAGGGTTTGTTCGTATGGATGCTACCAGCCTTGTTGAGTGCCTCATGGATGTGGTAGGGTTTTTTTCCTCTCTCTCTGTTTAAGTATTTAAGCATTAACTCATTTAATCCAATGATGTTCTCAACTTTGGAACACAAAGGATAATTTTTTTTGATAAACAGAAGCAGTGGTCATCAGTTTTTTCTAATATCGTCTCAAGAACAACTATACTTGGAATCTTGTCAAGAGGAGTAGCTGGGAACCACAACGAAACGTTACAAGTGGTAATTTAGTTAATCAAGCTGTTTGAGTATCATCATCTCCTTCGTTTTATGAAGATATTAGTGAAATGGATTCTAAATGCCAACGGAATGCAATATTGTTGATTTCATTAGTTAGAATTGAGTTCATGCTTGCAATGGGAGCTTCTATACTTCACCATGAAACGTAAAAAATCGCAAGGAGTCTTCAAGTATCATGTCATTGGATGTTCGAGGAAACTAGTACACTGTCTTGGAAATTATACTGATATATTCAACCAAAAAAAAAAATTTTACAGGTATCCTTTGGATGCTTTAATGTTTTTTTAGGAATCCTCAAGTAACTCAAGCATTGATTGCGAATAATAACTTTATGATCTGTTGCAATTATATGTATTGGTATGTGGGGGACAGTGTAGTTCTTCCAACCAGCAAAATGTGCATATGAATAATCGATTTCATAAGATGTTCTCAATGCAATGCTTGACAGATGAAGGCAGAGTTTCATATGCCTACACCACTTGTTAATATTCGAGAGAGTCAGTTTGCAAGGTATTGTAAGCAGATAGGGCCTGGAACATGGGGAGTTGTTGATGTATCCTTGGACAGTCTATTCCCTTATCCACTAGTAATTTTTCGGAGAAGACCATCAGGTTGTTTAATCGTAGAAATGCCGGATGGATACTCTAAGGTGATTACGTGTGCCAATTGGAAAAGCATCCCTTTTTGTAGTTTACTTGAATTAAGCCTCAAGTTATATTTCCATGTTGTCTTCATCAAATTCTGCAGGTTATTTGGGTTGAGCATGTGGAAGTGGACAATAAATTTGTCCATAGAATGTTTTGGCCAATTGTTCTCCCTGGTTTTGCATTTAGCGCCAGGCGTTGGGTTGCCAGCATAGTCCGACATTGTGAGCCAGTTGGGAATATAATCTCTACTTCCCTTGACAGTGGTAAAAACATTTCCTTTTCTTCTGACTTTAAGCAACATATATATTGGTTAAACTGTTACTGTTTTGCTTTGATATTGCACAGCAACAATACCCCGAAATGGGAAAGCAAGTGTGCTGGGGCTGGCTCGTAAAATGATGAGAAGCTTTTATCATGACAACAGTGCTTCTACTGACAATTTGTGGGTCCGAATGCATCTATGTGATGGTGAAGATTTTAGGTTAATCACTAAGACTATTTATGCCCTCAATGGAAGCCCTAGTTCGACTTTAGTTTTCACAACATCTCTTTGGGTTCCGGCTCCACCAAAGAGAGTCTTTGATTTCCTTCGCCATGAGGATTCTAGAAACAAGGTATCTAAGATGCTTAAACTTCAAAGCATCGTTTCCCTTTGATGATGATTGTTCAATTTCTGCTTCTTTCCTTGTAAAATAAACGTATCCAAGTTAAACAAGCAGGGACTGCTATGAAATAATTAGAGGAAGTTTCGAACAAGGATTAATTTATGGATACCTCTTTAGCGTTTCCGTCGATTTTAGAAAGGAAACTAAATGGATTGGATCGATTTAATTAATTGTTAGCACTACCACTTCTGATTCATCTTGCTATAAATCATCTGTATCCCACACTGTTTTAGCATTGTCGTTCAGATACTTTTCATTATACTTAAAGATAGTCTGGCATCAAATAATTTGGTAGACTTTGATTACTGTCTTTAGTCAAGAAAGACTTCCCGGACAAAGAGGAAATGTCCAGTCCTTCCTGTTCTTAAAGAACCAAAATTCACTGCAAAAATATCTTGGATATTTATTTTTTAGTATCTATTTTCATTTTTATCTCTACAACCTTCTATCTATTCTGTATTCTATATAAGGACAGCAAACAAGCACAACCTCAAAGAACATTTGAACATCACCTATGTATCTTACATAAATGTGAATAGCAGGGTGGTTTTTTGACATTGAATGTCTTACAGCAATGCATTAGTGCTATGGCAGCATCATGTTTCCTCCTCAAGTATGCTATATTTGCAAGTAGAATTGTTATCTTCGCTGGCTTTTCATGCAGTGGGATTTGCTTGCCCGTGGATCCGCAGTTCACGAGACTATGCATATTATCAAGGGAGAAAGTCCGGAAAACCGTGTGTCTATCATGCAAGTGAATGTAAGTTGCTTCTTTTTTTATTTCTTATTCAAATATGCTATATCCAAAAGTTCAACTACATGAAAACCACACATTAACAAAGAAAAGTTTTCTTGATTATGCAGTCTTCTCAGAACCAGATAGAAATCTTGTACTTGCAAGAAAGTTACAGCCATCCAACTGGATCCCATGTTGTTTATGCTCCAATAGACATTCTTACTATGGGAATGATGCTGGGTGGTGGAAATTCAGATCTTGTTAATATTTTGCCATCAGGTTTTGTGATACATCCTGATGGGCCACCAAGGAATGGAGAGGAAACTAGAGGAAGTCTTCTCACTCTTGCCTTTCACATTATGGATGGTTCATCCACGGATGACTATCTTCCTGCTTCTGATTCTGTTAATACCATTCGGAAAATCCTCACAGAAACTTCAACTTTGATCAAGACAGCTCTTTTATCTGACAATCTATAAAACAGTTCACCATCCGGCCAGCACACATAAATCGAAAGGCGTCACTATCCACACTGTTGGTAAGGCTTAATATCGCTGATTTTTGGATAATTAACTGATCATCCAAATTTTTAATGTTTCAAGTTCTTTAAACCCCTCTTAGGGCCTAGGATGTTATGAAACTATCTGTATATGTACTACGCATGGCTAGCTAGGGTTCGTCGTAATTGCAATTCTGATTCCCTAAGGATTTGCTCTAATGATTAAACTGTCTAAAGAAATACATGAGGGCTACTGATTCTAAAAGAATGTATGAACTAGGGTTTTAAGATCAACTTAACAAATTGAGAAAATAGAAGAAGGAGAACAAAGTTGACGACAGCATAGGAGAGTAGCAAAAAAATACAGGAGAGAAACGAGACTGAGATTGAACTTCAATATAATCCCTACCATGTGCTTTTATAAGGATCAGCATCAGTTACTAACAGACTAAGAAGGAGAACAAAGCTGACGACAGCATAGGAGAGTAGCAAAAAAATACAGGAGAGAAACGAGACTGAGATTGAACTTCAATATAATCCCTACCATGTGCTTTTATAAGGATCAGCATCAGTTACTAACAGACTAACCAACTAACTTCAACCAATTAACAAACTCTGCTAACAAAATCTTCTCTGACTAGCTAACAGAATCTTAAACACTAAATAGCGGCTAGCATGTCCTATATGCTTTTGACTCCCAGCCTTCGATTATGTGTAATTCCTTAACACTGCATTTGGACGCCGGCATGAACTTGTCCCCACACTTGAAACACTACCCCAGTCTTCGCCTTTGTCATGCATGGTCTCTGGAACTGTTTGTTTTTGTTGGTTATCATTCACATAATTGGTTTGAAGATTACCTATTGATCTTCCCATTTGCACCATGACTGCGAGCCTGGGCATGAATTTATTTTTTATTGCCGACACATTGTTTAACTCCTCTTGCCAATTAGCTTAATCAAAAGTTATCATCGATGTCACCAGCTTTAATATCTTCAACATAGGTTTGATATCTTCCTTTAATTCGTTAATAAAGCTAGAGATATAGTAGGATTCAAGAAGTAAGGAATTTAATGAATGTATTAGTGACTTTAACTCCTCAAACCTCTCAGTAAATTCACCAACATCACCTTCTTACATTAGCTTGTTAAATTCCTCTACAATGTCAGTTCTATTACTAAACCAGCTGCATATGGCTCCTGAGAATTCTTCTCAATCAACAATAGCCTTCAAACTAGATCTCTGCCTTTCCCTCCAAATAAAGAGATGTTAGTTCTACCAATTGTTGAAAAGGAGTTGTTTTAAGCTTCAAAAACTTCTTGCACCTCCTAAACCACTAGGATTATCTCCCCAAAATGTTGTCAGATGCATTCTTGAAACGGCAGCATTATGCACCACTCTCAGTTGCTCTTGACCATAGGTTTGATCTCTTTTAGCAAGACCCTTTCCCTTTGATAGCATTCCCTCTAGACTACCCTGTGCTGGAGTTTGTAATATTCCCCTGGAAGTGCTTCCCAAATCTTTTCCTGTCATTTGATTAGCCAGGAACGCTTGAAATTAAATCGATAGAGCTTCAATTTATGCACTAATCTGATCAGTCCTCCTGTTATGTTCACCAAAGTATTCCTGCCATTTAGTTTGTTGAATGGGCAAGGATTCCTAAAATTCTTATTGAAGGATCTGCATTCGCTCCTTCAATTTCTTGCAGTGTTCTTTAATGTTTTTCAGCTTATGATTTTTCATTAGTGTCAGATCTCAAGGCTCTGATGTCAATTATTAAGATCAACTTAACAAATTGAGAAAATAGAAAAAGGAGAACAAAGTTGACGATGGCAGATTTGATTAGAAAAGAATGCAGTAGAGAAAAACTAGATTGAGATTGAGCTTCAATTTATTTCGTGCCAATATAATCCCTACCATGTGCTTTTATAAGGATCAACATCAGTTACTAACAGACTAACCAACTAACAAACTCTGCTAACAGAATCTTCTCTAACTAACTAACAGAATCTTAACCACTAAATAGCAGCTTACATGTCCTATACACTTTCGACTCCCAGCTCCTCTTGCCTTTCCACCATAGTCTTTATTCAGCCATCCTGGGATGTAACATAGGGTTTATCAAAGCAACCAAATATGAATTGGAACAACAATGATCAGTGCACAGTTGGATTTGAATTCATGATCATTCCATATGAACTAGGGTTTAACAGCAATGATCAGTGCACAGTTGGATTTGAATTCAGGATCTTTACTCCCTTCATGCCATTGTACTGTTTCACTTGGAACAGTCAACAAATTCCATTATGTTCGGTTTCTTTAGTGCACTTGAGTGGTAATTTTCCACTACAAAGGGCATAGTTCATGGGCATATACAAGGAACTTGTCATAAAATACATACATCTGATGGAGTTTACAGAAAACTAGCCATGATTCTTAATCTTTGGTGCCGTTTTGCGGGCCTTTCTCAGCAATTGCCACTGTGACTTCGACCGACTTCGAATCTATATGCATTTGAATCAGTGTCAAAAAGTACTGAGTGACCTTCTACGCATGCTACCAAAACACATCATATTCAGTTGAAATCATTCATGTCAGGGTGGATGATCGATCCTAGTATATTTTCCTGCTGCCCGTTCCAACTTTTTGACAAAAATGAAAATTTGATTTCTAGTATTTATACTAATTATCGTGCTCCTGTTGCAGTGGAAAAGAAAGGGAGAAAAATGTCCAAGGAAAAAACACAACAGGAACGAAATGAAGGATGTTATGACATCTGCTTATGGCTGAAGCTTAAGCTGTACGATATCCCCATGTATGTTGAATAAAAAGTGGGGAGTGAACATTGATGCTTTCTGAAATTTGTGTCCGTGGACCTTAATTTTGTGTTGCCTAGTGTAACTCTTGGTTTCAGAACCGGAACCTGTTCTCTTGTTTTCACAATCTGGGATTTTGGAGACACTGCATGTCTTCTGGTATTGGATGCGGTTTTCTTTAAACATCTTCATGGATATGGTTTAGGGTTTATAAATCTTGACCTCAAGGTATCTTATCATAGTAAAAGAAATGCTGTCCGAAACCACTAATCACTCATTAATTGCGTAAAACATATGGGAATATACATTTATACACTAAAATGGTGTGCAAATGTAGAACTAAACCTAGGGAATATGCAGTTGCAATAATCACTCATCTTCTAGGAGGGGTATATGAAAAAGAACATTCATGGAAAGGTGGACCTGCAACACAGAGCAATGCATGAGTTAAATGACTTTGCATTCAAAAGAGTTTTCACGTGTACGGAAACTGCAACACTCCATAAATAATCCCATTCACGTGTATGGAAACTGCAACACTCCATAAATAATCCCAAAGCATATCTCTGACCACGTTATTCTAAAGCATCAGAATCGTAATTTGAAACTTTGTAAATTGGGTCCTGTTACCATAAACTTTTCAATACATAATGGCCATTTTGACACATCTTGCAAAGGCAATT